TCTAACTTTCTCAACATCAGCAGCTGTTCTCAGGGGATCAAATATGACAGGACCCTTCCCCTTTATAATGTCGAAAGGGATATTCATCCCTGAAAGAGGAGTAAGAATGTCTGAAAATAAAATGACCTGCCACAATAATACCATGAAAGAAACAATTAAATCAAACCAATAAGCATAATAAAATTGAAAATACTAATTTGGGAACAAAAAACGTCTAAAGATGGATTCTTGTTATTGAAGAAAAGACTACAATACCTAATGATGCATACATATATTCTATCAAAGATATGCTAAAGTAGGATACCAGTAAGGAATCTTACCCCATCAGGCCTGAATACTTTCCAGGGTTGTAGAGAAATTTCTACCACAAGATCAACGTTCTCTGATCTATCACGGAACAATGGGTACTTCTCGCAGAGGAGTTGATAGCTCTATAAAAATTTAAAATAAAGCAGAATAATTAATCGGAAGAAAAGAAATAGTAAAAAGGAAATCATAGAAGTCAGAATCATGATGGCAACACAAAAATGTATAAGAAGTCCTGCAGATCAAGCCTTAAAACTGTTTTAACTAGTATTTACAATAACCTAAGGAAACAAAATGAGGAATTTGAAAATTGTCAAGCTTTATGGTCCATAAAAGTCCAAGTAGGTCCTTACTAATATTACTCACTTCTCCTAGAACAAGTTCAAAAAAGCATTAAAAAAATGATCCCCTAAGTCCCATTTTGTTTCTTTTATTCTCTTACAGAAGGGGCAGAGTAGCAGACACAGAGGGTAAAATGAGAGAATATTGCTTGAGACAGTCTGCTCATGTCATATGTAGACCTCTATATGCGTCAGCTCTAAGGTGTAACAATATAATGACTGAAGGTGATAAGGAACAAGGTAGACACAAAATCATTTGGCGAGAAGCTATTGCAAAAGACCTACAATTTCTTAGGACCAATGTGAACTTAACAAAGAACATAAGATAATGAAAGCAAAAGATCCATATAGGTGATAAAAACAAGCATATATTAAGAAGTCTTTTCATTCTAGATAAAAGACTTGTTTGTTCATGTAGAGCTAAGAAGCAAGTATAGTCATTCTTCTTGTTGTTCTTCATATAGCGTGAGTGTGAGGCATAGTAGTAGTTGTTGTTATGTAAAACTAAGTGTAAGGTTCAGAGAACCTCTAGTTTTAGAGAACTCCCCTAAGTTGTCTTAAATTACTTAGTATTTGAATGAAATTGGCCTAAATAGAGCAAAAGGGATACTGATGATTCATATAGCTTAACCCAACTAATTTGAAAGTGAGGCCTAAATGATTAGATAGAATTGACAATTTCCAATGGACCTCTCTTTCTCTTATTCCGAAAGAAAGCTCGAAGATTCAGCCATTCCTTTCTCATGCAAGCAGCTAACTACAGTGGACCCATAACATGAATCTGTTGACACTCATGGGATGTAGGTAGAAATCTTTTAGATAGGATATTTAGTGATTAAAAAGGTAACACAATGGAAATCCGCAAAAGGAAAAAAAGACAAATGCAAAAGTCCAAGTACGCACTATGCCTTATAAATCCTTAGGAATAACCAAATTTGGAAGAAGCATGATGGAATTGAGAAGCACCTAAAATAACGGTAAAAACTGAAACTATAAACCTGCCTTCATATACCTCCCTGCTTGTCTCATAAGCCAAACGGGAGGTCTTTCTACTTCTTTACCCCGTACAGCATCAAGCAACAATGGTTGTGTTGCATTTATAGCTTTTGGTTCCGCAACAGTTCCTGGAAGTTAAAATCAATATGAAAATTCAACCAACTTAAGAAGTTGAAGGTACAATTGCATAGAAACTGTGAGAATAAATAGCTCAAACTCTCATTGGTCCGGGGGATGTATATGGAAATTTCAGATAAAAGCTAACAGTCTAATAGATGCAATTTCACATACTAGAATTGAAATTCAAAAATACTATTTTAGTGAAGAGTAAATTGGGGTCCTCGAGGCTTGCTTAATTGACCAAAATCAAGTTTTAAGACGGCAGCCACTGCATAATTGTGAATGTGAAGAAATACTAATAGCATAACACAGGATGGATCTTAGCCAAAAAAAAGGCTGAGACAATAATTAATCATAATAAGCTACTCGAATTTAAAAAAAAAATGGAAATGCAGAAATGAAATTACTATATGGACAATGCAAAAAAGGTTACCTCCAGCAGAGCAACAGATTAATCTGGGGTTGAGATTAAAGTTAGAGGGAGAAGTAAAAGCAGATTTAGAGGAAGGAGATATAGAAGAGAAAGAGTAATTACAAGACATCATTTTTTCAGGCTCGAAATTTTCTTTTGCATCTCAGAGCAGTTGGAAAAAGAAGAAGAAGAAAAGGAAAGGGTCAAAGCTGATAAAAGAAAAAGATAAGGGAGAGCAGACTGGCAGTAGGAAATCTACGTTGACGAATGGCAAACTTTTCCGTAGGCCCCTATTTACTTCGCCTTTTCTTTTGCTTTACTGCTCAATTCATTCTCTTTCATTTTGACTCGAAATTTGGTTTGAGAATTTTATTAACATGATAGATTAGGCGTGCTCCGGTCTTTGGTTGACGCTATTATGTGGAAAAGACCCCGATTTTCTCAAAGATTAGAGATGTCACTGGTACTATCTTTCTGTCTTTGACCTATCGACTGAGAGGTGCTTCTTATCGTATATGTGGTGCGCCCTATCGCCCTAAATCTAAGCGATGGAAGCCCCACTATCTTTGTATGCTTTCGCTAACGAAGATTCTGTTGCTATTATAGCTGTTTTAAAATACAAAAACATCAGCTTTTTATAAACAATCTTGAGACTATACAAAAGAAAATTTGGCCGACAGAACAAATTGCAAAAGAGCCCATTTCGATTAGCTAGGTGCTCAAAAGCACTTTTAAGTGTTGAAACTTATTTAATAAATAAGCAGTTACGTGTTTGGATACAAGTGTTGAAATTGATAATAAGCTGCAGCAGTTTTTTATAAAAAAGTGGTGATAAGCTCTTTTTCTATTAAAACAACTTAAATAACCTTAGAACTGTTTACACTTATAAGGGCGTAATTTCTTCAAAATTTAATATTCTTGATCAATTTAAATACAAAATATTCTATTTGTCATTTTGTTTTAAATACAACTGTGCTTAGATAAGATAATTTTTANTTGGCTTTTGGCTTATTTTTGACTTATAAGCACTTTTAACTTTATCAAACGTGTAGGTAAGCCGAAAAGTGCTTATAAGCTAGTTTGACCAGCTTATAAGCTTAGCCAAACACCCTCAACATACTGAACAAGTAAGCTTGATTCGTGCACTGCTTTCATTGGAAGTACGCAGGATACGGCATATTTACAGCTTACCAAGTATATGACCCTTGATACGAGGGTGTGTAGATAGAGAATTAGTATAAAGGATTAGTAAATAGTCGAGCTTTCTTTTTCATATATGTAGTATCAATACTATTCTCGTACTTTCTTATGCTTAGATTTCTACTATTATCGGTTATTTCTTTTTTCTTTCATATCTTGTTATTGTTACTGCATCTTACAGATGTTCATAGTTCGGTTTGGATCAACTTTTTCCTAAAAAGAAACCAAACCAAGTAATTCGATTTTCAAATAATGGAACCAAATCAAACCAATTAGTCGGTTTTTTTATATGTCAGTTTTTGACGTTTTTCGATTTTTTTAGTTATTTCGATTTTCCTTATATATGAGACATACACTATCAAGCACATATCCCTGCGACTACATTTTCAACGTAACACTATCAAACCTATTGCTCTTTAAGAAATCTATCATTTACCAAGATATATTGATGATAATTGAGTCAAATATTGATGAAAATTTTAAGGATTCAATTAAAAATAGATTATTTTAAACATAAAACAGATTCTTGTGCTTAGCAAAAGAAAACTACATTCTTATACTTAGTAAAAGAAAACTACAAATTAAACTAGAATGTAAAGGCAAAGAATTAGATTGTTATAATAGCAAAGAACTAGACTAAAAGGGCAAATGATTAACATGTACCATAAAATTTTAAAAACTTTGTATAAAAATATACACATATATAGGTGTAATAATATATTTTAAATAGTTACTTCTATAGTCAGTTTGGTTCGATTTTTTAATTTGTTTGTTAAACCCAAAACCAAAACAAATTTCATTGGTTTTTAAAATTCAAAACCAAAACGAAACCAAACCAAACCAAAATAGTATTGATTTTTTGGGTCGGTTTAGTTCGGTTTTCGGATTTTTATGAACACCTTACTGCTTCTTTTTCCATGGCTTCTACACTACTATATCTCTTTTCAATAATATTGTGACTATATTTTTCCACTTAAAGGATTACACAGGATTTGTTGTTATAGTACAGTCGAGGAATAATGTCTAAATCAATTTCGCGATTTTCATTGACAGTAATGTTTCGAGAAATTTCACTAAACAAATGATACTTTTTCTATCTAATATAAATAAACAATCATGAAGAACAAATACTGAAAAACACAAGCATCAAAATACTCATGCCTAGACTACTTTTTCTATTGTCTGCCATAAAAGTACAAACCACAAATAGGAACATAAACCCGAACCCAAAGTTAAAAAATCAACAATTTCATTCAAACTGAAGTGTAAAAGAAAAAAAGATGCAATCTTTTATATGTTATACAAGAAGTTACAATATTACATGTAACTACAAGTAACTATTATTCGGGAAATGGATCGGATTTCCAATACAACTGCTGGTAACGGCTTGATCACACAAACAGAAACCCCTCCC